ACAAACAACATTTTTTAGTATCAACAACTTTAACCCGAATCTTAACTTTTGTTCTGCCTGCCTCAGGATAGCAAAAAATAAGATTACCCTTTTGCTGCTCTTAATTAAATTATAAAAATTAATAATATTTATTACACAGTATCTGCAACACAATCTGGATGCTTCCATGTTGCCATCGATGCCAGCCACTCCCGATGCAGCTCTCTGGAACACCTCAGTGCAATCCACTCCCGGAGTGATTGGAGCGCAGGAGGTTTACAGGTATGAAACCCTTCAATTGCGCCTTACTCGATTCTAACTGATTGATGTTATACACCCACACAGAGATCCTCGCACGCGACGTCTGGCGGAGAAACAGCAGCAACAACAGCAACAACGCGCTGGAGATGCGGTGCCCGAAAAGCTCTCGTTTAAGGAGAAGATGAAGATGTTTGCCCTGGAATCGGGGGAGGATAACACGCCCAAGGACAAACTGAAGATATCGCGGGCACAGCGGGATATAGATGCGGTACATTAAGATGGAGGAGAGATCGTTGCTTAACGCTATGTACATACAGATACGAACCCACAAAAGCTTACACTTCAATATATTGGGGCCAAGTTGTTACGTTAGCTCTACAAAATACACACATAGAAATGTAGATCAAGTTATAAATACCAGATAACTATAGAAACAAACAAACCTAACGAATTTGCTAAGCAAGGCAATAACAATCCATAGTTATCGCGTTTCCGAGTTAATTACCACACACAAAATGTTAACTGAATTCAATTAGTGAGAATTGTCAGTGTATATCATTATAGTCTATATATACATATGTTTATATATACAAAACTATAAAGAGCCTAGACAGGGCAACGAAAGCGAGGCGAGCCACATTTGTAAAGCGTTTTAAACATTTAACATAAACCCTATGATTAACAATTAGTTACATCAGATTACAGCATACAATTTATGGTTAGAAAACAGTGTAAATGAGCAAAGTTAGTTTAGATATACATATATTTACCTGGGAATCGTGCGGAACAAAAAACGTTTATACATATGTACTGTATTCTTTAGAGAACTCTAAGCCACAACAACGTTAAACAAATGGTCCAATTATTCAATTATTAAAGATATATTTACAAACCACGAACCACGAAAGAGTAATAAAATATTTAAAAATTCACATATATATTTTTAATTATTGCAACCTTTTTAAAAAACATTTTGAATGCAACAAGGCATATACAAAAGCAAATAAGAGTTGTTATTTAAATATGCATAGAGAAAGTACCAATTTAAATAAAATAGGATTTCACTAAACAAGAATCTAATGGCTTTAAAATTTAACAAAACATGCGCATCTATTTGCAAGATGTCTGTTATAGCAAACAATTTTGTTATAGCATAAAATTTATTCGAAAAACCCAACACACAGGTGACAAATTATTTTTGTGCATTCCAAGTATTTCAAATCGACACTAAATTCTAATTTGTAAGAAGCGGTTTATTTTTAGTAAGCGAAACTATTTTTTAAATAAATATTGAAAAATAACGAAACAAAAATATGCAATTAATGTACGAATAACTTCTGTAAAAAGAGATGCAACATTTTCGTTTAGTTTCACTTTAAGCGCGATTAGTTTTAATTATTACAATTATATATTATATCAAAATGCAAACAAATTCAGCAACACAATTGTGCATATTTATGAAAAATAAAAAGTTAATTATATGAAAAACAAAAAATAATAGTTATCTTAGCTAATTAAAGTGCACTTACTCTAATTTACCTTAAAGTAGGGATTGTAAAGGGGATTACAATTTTGGATAAAAATAGTTTTTACATCTTGTGGTACTTGGCATTATTAATCGTTTGTTTTGACAACAGTAAGTCAAATATGGCACAATCGATAAGTGCAAACAATAAATCCGTTTGTAACTACATTTTTTTTTGCAGTTTACGAAAACCAGCTGTTTATTGGGAACAGTCCTAAATTTCGCGCCCAAGGAGATTTTAAATGTCAGAGAACAGACTTGCGCACATCCCAGCTGCTTATAAACTATTCCCGGGCATCAACAGGTTCGGAAATCGACCTACCTAAATACATTTTTCATGAGGCTAGCAAAAGTCAAGTCAAGCGGCTGGCTGACATGTTGTTGGCCGCCGCCACTGCCTGGACGGGAGTAATTTGGAAAAAAGTTGAAGAATGCCTTTTGTAAAATTTGCTCACACTGAAACCAAACGAAATGGGTTGGGCTGGGTTTGCGTTGATTTGGGCATATTATATGCCAATTTAGTTGGCACTCCGGAAAAAATTATTACATTACTTAGACTAGCTCAACAATTGTCCGTTCAGCCAGATGATCGTCAGCCCGTAAGTTTATATCCCTGCACTTAAAAAAATAATCAACCCAACTATTTTCAATTAAAACATGTGAAATCGTCCTTCAATTTTGGTATAAGTATTAGGCAGAAACTTCTGATGACAAAAACGAGAAGGAACCCTTTAGTCAAAGACCCGAAGACTATTAGATACCTTTTACTCTGCTTATGAATTTCATAATAAAAGTTCCGAAAGAAAATACTACGGGGTTTTAAACATTTTTGCCAATAACTTAGTTTTTTTTGATTTTGACTCGGCTATTAATTCTGATCAAGAATGTATACATCAACTTAAAACGATGGGAAATACTTTTATATACATGTTACTTATATTAAGAATTGGAAAAAGAGTGTGCTTTTACTGCTGGAAAATTTTCAATAAAACATTCTCATGAATACTCCACAAAATAAAACTAAACAACATGAATAAGTATACTTATATAATTTTAAATAATATTTGTTACAGTTGTCAAATTTATCGACAATGGTTTAAGCGAAGAGTTTTTTTTTATAATGTGGTTTTGGATGACGGTGTATCTTAGTAAAAAACTAAGTTAGGTAGTTTTATTTTAGATAATTAAACAATTATCCAAAACATTACATACATATTCTTAGCCATACCGCGTAACCTCTGGGTGGTGGATAATAAGTTTTTCTTAGGAGCACCGAAATATGATTAAAATAAAAAAGATAAACGGTTTCCGGAATGCTCAAGAAGTTTGATTTTTATTGGATGTATATAATAAATAATTTATATATTGATATATTGATTTTGATAAAAATTAAATCTTTTGATAGAGTATATTCTGAACATAAACGTTTTATAATAACTCAACTACAAAGCCTTTAATTTATGATAAATTAGCATCGAAGTGGGTATCCCAACGCTTTATAAGGCTAGTATAATATAGATGTTAGGCCAATTTTTAAATGCCGTTTCTTTTACAATGGTTATAAATGATTCTAAATGGCGTTCCACTCATTTTCCTCCAGGTTGTTGAGGCCGAAGTATTGCTGGCCAAGTTTCAATGCCTGCCCACCGGCGGCCGCGCACAATGTAATTTAAAAGTCAACCGGCAAACTTTAACCACTTGCTGCCAACAGAAATCAGCGAGACCAGGACCGAAATCAGGAGCCTTTGCCTGCCGGCAAGGTGAATTGCCGATATATAAGGGCGTGGGTGTCCTTAAAGCACCTGCGAGGGAAATGTCTTTTGGCGTCGCGTGCGCGTATCAAATTTGTTTTTCAACAGTTTGCCATGTGAATTATTAAAATGCGCCAATCTCTTTGATACAGCCACAACCGCTGGGGGGAATTGGGCCATAATCAGTTGGCTGAGCGGAGTGAACTTTAAGAAATTGTTGACAGTTGCCTGCAAGGCATTCGGATTGCCAGCCGCGGAATTTTTCAATATTCGCCAGAGCTAATCCCCCGCGATGCCCGATCTGCCGCTGTCAATATCCTCCTGCCGGCGGTGGCCATACCGCAAAAGCAACAGGGAAAAGGAAAACTGCAGGAAATCTGCGGGACAGCCCCACAGAGCGAAAAGAAAAATATGAACTGTGGCAAAAGTTTCAGGATGCGGCGGCTATGGCGAATAAATCAAAAAGTGATTAGCCCACTCCCCGTAGCCCTTCTCTCCTCCCAAGACCCACAAGTTGCGTTCCGTTCCCCTTCCTTCCAACAACCCACCACCAACGCCATCTGTGCAGTTGTAAATTGTCTGTTGAGTGGCCAAAGGAGCTAGGCATGGAGCATTGGCCAAGGTGTGCGAAGCTGAAAATGTGGGCCAACTTTGAGCGGGAAAGCTCAAACTTGGCCATAAAACTTTCGCCACATCTTGGCCACGCCTGCCAAGACTTGCTTCTCTGGTCAGCGGCGGTTTGATAAATGAGCAGCGTAAAGTGCGCGGGCAATCAGAAAAATCGCACAAAATTATAGTTGGCCAGGCAATAAAACAATGGCCAAGGCGAAACAATGGCCAACACAATGGTAGTTTTTCTTCAATCCCCTCTCTTTTTCTCTTTTTATTTGCTTGCCGGCTTAGTGGATGCTTTTCTCCTTCTCCACCTTTTCTTGAGTTATGACAAGTTTCTGTATTTGCATTTTAAAATATACGGACATAAGACGCCGGCAAGAAATTAACAGGGGTGCAGGAATTCCATTTAAATAAGTGAGGATTGGGGTTAAGATGCTAAACTGGGACAAGGGGAGGATTGGCATTAGGCTGAAACCCAGAGGCCCACTTTCTAAAGCTGAAGCTGGGCATTAGCAGGGCCTTAATAAATGTAAATCAAAGTGCGCGGCTCAACAAATGAAAATTATATCGTTAATGATGCAAGCTGCAAAATAATTTTCACTTTAAAAATAATGCTTCAAAAGTAAAAACTAGGAATCACAGAGAAAATAAAAGGTTTATCACGAATCTTTTCACATTTTTTTACTTCTTTATAATTCCCATGTGTTTTTTGATTGTATTTAAATATTTTATTTGATAATAAATAAGTTTTCTTTAAATATTGAAATAGCTTAATACAAACAGACTTTAATTACCTTCTGGGCTGAAGACATTAATTGCGACCTCTTAATTAACAAAATATTATCTCAAAAATGAAAGAGGATTACAGCTTACATAAGACGCCTTAGGCTTTATTTACGCAAATAACAAATAGATGTTCGTTACTCGGAATTAGATGCTTAGGTTAATTCTTAATTATCTAGACCTAATTGCTAGAGAAAAGCAAAACAATGTTAAGTCTAGAATTTGTATAAAAATGTTGTTTATATTTGGTAATTTGAGCTTAGACTTTAAGAAGTGTCAGCGGAATAAACAATGGCAATCGTTTGAGTGTTAGTGCAATTTACCTAGAAATTAAACTAATGTCTTAGACAATACACCCCGATCGGATGATAATTCCAGCGCTCTCCTTAAAAGGATTTCGTCCAGACCACTCATGTTTTGTTCAGGGCCACCAGAAGGAAGATCAGCCACTGGTGAAGACTGCTGTAGCCGTGACCCAGTCTATGGAGGCCTGCAGCTGCCGACTTTATGGCGGAGGCAGAGTATTCCCCTGAAATGAGCAATATTTAATAACTTAATGACTTAATTATACGCATACCGAAATTCATTTGTATAAATAAAGGTTTTGGCAAGTGATTTTTATTTTAGAAGTTAATATAACATCCTGTCAAAACAAGAAACATGCAGTAAAAATGAATACTTTCTGATTGAAAATGATTTGGACTGCATTTTCACGATCAAATTTTTCATGTTTTTTTTTTTTAAATTTTGTAATAAAAAGTTAGGAAAATAACAGCAAAGCATTAAGCTGCTTAGACAGACAGCGATAGCCTTATTCTGCTTATTTTATTTTTTTACAAGTACTGTAGTGGTCAGAAATTTATATATTGTTCCTTTTGTTTTAACCCTTTTTTGCGAGGGATGTTTATATATTTTTACCATAGTGTGCTATATTTCATATAGCTCCCATATAAAAAAACGAGGAAAAATTTAACAAAAAGTATAACTGCTGTTTTTCAATTTCTTGATAGTTCTTCAGTATTTATAGATGGTTAGTTATTTTATGTATCACATTGCTCCCGTGGAAACAATCGGAATATTAAAATAAAAACGAAAAAAATGATAACTTCTCAAATTAAATTTTTTTTTTGTTTATTAATCCATAATAACGATTTTAACTTTATTAAAATCGGAAAACGATATAACTAACGATCGAATAATTTAAGTGAAAATCATCATAGCTTCAATGGTTTTTAATGGGTACTCATATAATTCGAAATTAAGATGTTTAATTTTTGCAATAGCTGCAAGAGTATATAAAATTCGACTTGCAGAAGTTTTCTTCTTTTCGTGTTTTTTTTTGTGAACTAACTTTTCAGTTAAAATGTGTTAAGACGTAAACAATTTGCGTCACCTACCGCTCAGAACGTGCAATTGCATAGAAACTGCCGCACTGTTTTCCGGCTCACACGTGTAGTTGCCGGAGTGAATCTTGCGCACAAGTGGAATAACCAGTGAACCAATCTGTAAAATCGATATCCATGAGAAATCCTCTTAAGAATTCTAGTTCCATCCAAATCCGCTCACCGTGTTTCGATTGTGCTCGGTGCTGCCGAAGATATTCCTGTCGATTTGCGTATACCATCCGCTTTGGACACCGCTTGCCTCATTGTCGGCAGTTACTTGCTGGTCGCCACGGTACCAGAATATATATTTTGGGGCCTCTAGGGTGCCACGTACGATGCAGTGCAGCTCTACTTTGCTGCCGGACTTCACAAAGCGCTGTCGATCGCCGATTAACTCAGTTCGGGGTGCTGTAGGTGTGGATAAAAATTAGTTTGTAATACAAGTAGCAGTTTGCTTTAAAAAGTACATCGGTGACTTTTCAAACCAAATTCTAGCCAAAGTGATTTGAAGGCTAAAACACTTCGTTTACACACAAGGTAACTCTAAAATAGTAAAGTTTAATATTGTATTTTTGCTTATTTCTCACTAAAAATGAAAACATTTCAAAGATTTATTTAATAGCTTCGATATTTTGAAACCAATTTCTGTCCTAGACACATTGTTATGTACTACATCACTTATCAAGTTCTGATGGCAAACAAAAGGGAGCTTAGCTACTACACAAAATGTTAATTATTAGAGTTCGTGTCTACACAATAAGATGCATTTATTTTATGTTTATGATCTGATAATTTGTTGATAACTTTCGATCAAATTTTAGAATATCAATAACATATGTGGGAACAAAATGTAAAAGCAATATTTTCAAAGATTTCAATTCGATATTTAAATATTGAAATAATTTTTTTTATATATTTTATTAAATGTATTTAATAATAATTTATGGCAGCGGTTTTGTGAAACAGTTTTACTATCAAATAAAGATTATATATATTTTAATATTTTAACATCAAATTGATATTGAATGTATGTAAATTTGCATTTCGTTTTTTTTTTCTTTCTGTGCAGGACAATTTGTCGGTTAGCAATCCTTTCACTTACTTATCACAAACAGCTGCACCTTGGCGCTCATTTTGGGCTCCGTTGCCAGCTGGCACTCGTACCAGCCGGCGTCCTCCACTTTCACGTATTTTATTTGCAGCGTCCAGCTGAGGCTGCTGCCATTTCCCCGCTCCTGAACATCCGGACCACCATGGGCGGAGACGTTACTCGGGGCAACCGAGGGGTTCTCGGTAGTTGCAACTCCTGACACAATCGTCGTCGATGTGGACGACTGGAGCAGCGATGCGAAGCGGGCATCGTTGATGAAGGTTGTATGATCCACAGCAATGATATGTTCGTCGCGCAAACGCACCCAGGAGAGCGGTTTACCGGAGTGCTGGTTGAGCTTCAGGCGGAAATAGAAAATCATAATAATTTGAATAATTAGTTTCGTTACTACTTAAAAGTCTAAAACTATTCCAAGTTCAGGTTGTTCAAAAAAAATGTAAAAACGCGGAATCTAGTAATGCAATACTTATTTACTTAAAAATAAAATAATTTTGTTTTAAAATGCTTAGTGCGTATTTATTTCATTAAGATTTGTTCAGTAAAAGTCAAGAAATCATGCATAATTTTGAATAGAAGATTGGTATTCAGCAAGCCCAAATCAAGTTAAAAAACGTTGACGAACCTTAAAAATAAATTTTATTATTATATCAAATACAACAAATACTTTTTCTATAAGAAAATTAGATGCCCTGGTCTTGAACATTTTGAAAAACCATTTATGTCATTTGTTGTTGTTTTAAATGGTTACATTAGTTTTAGTAGAAAATGCAAGTAAAAGAAGCTAAACATATTAAAGCTACCATTTCTTTGTTGGCAATTCAGGAACCTTAAATAATGTCCGTGCATTTAAATCTGCCGAACCGATTAATGTCAATCTTAGCACAAACTTTTTGCATAAAAGAAAATTACCCTCATGTCAAGTTTAAAATTAAGTTAAGAAATTAATGCGTATTATTAAAATATAGTTAATAATACGAAAAACTTGAATCAAAATTATAGTTCCAATTTTCTTCAAAATTTCAAAGTTTTGTTCTGTCTGACCTCATGGTACGAAAGCTACATTATATATCAAAATGTTTTTTATCCTATGCTAAAACTATAAACATTTTTTTGGCTTGCAATGGATTTTTATATTTATATTTTATATTTTATATTTATTTATTTTTTTTTTTCGAAGGCATTGCGTTTTTTTTATCCGATGACTTCTTTAAAATTTCCTGCTATGTCTACCCAAACTTTGCATACTATCCTTGCTCCACTTTGCACTAAATATATACAAATTTCAACGGTTTAATTATTTCCAAACTGGTTATGCCGTTTCTAATTCATTCCAATGTTCTCGAAATGCGAAAGACTGTGTTCCCCAACTTAGCCTGCTCACTCGGCGCTTTCAATTATGCCACTCAACTAGACGGCCCCCATTGTCCCATTGTCATTTAGGGGGACGACTTAACCACTCACCTTGCAGGGCAGATAGGCGTGTTGGCCTGCTTGGACGGTGGCGTTCAGCGGGGGCAGACTGAGCTGGCGGCGGGGCAGGAGTTCCCGCTCCTTGGCCAGCTCCTTTTCGCGCCGCAGCTGCTGGGCCTTTTGTTCGCTGTCGTAGGCGTGCAGACGGGATTGCTCGTTGGGTGACGGCATGGCACTGCCGGATGGGCTGTTGTCTGCAGGTTGCACAGACACAGGTGCTCCGGGAGTGGCGTTCTGCTGTCGGTGTGGTATGTCTGCGGGAATGAACTCGGGAAACGGCGGCAAATACGTGGGAATCGAGAAGCCCTTTGTCAGCGTCGCAGTGTCCGGCCTGTCGCTCCACGAATCCAGCACCGTGGTGTCCTCCAGCTCCTGCTGGCCGTCGCCCAGCATCAGGACAGGAGATCCTGTTGAGCCCGTGTCCAGTGCCATTGTGGTTGTACCAGTCGCCGGCGGAGCAATTAGCGATGCGTTCTCCATGGGAGTGGCCGTGGCTGCCAGCGCTGCAAAGTAGGTCAAGAATGATGGACAGCACATCAGTTTGCAAGCCTTATCGAAATTTTCCCTGCACAAATGATTATTATTTTGGGCTTGTGTCGAATTGACACACAAACGAAACGCAGCTGTCACTTGTCGGTTAGAAAAAGTCTACGAGGAAGCGCGGCACTTGGGATACCCTTTCCGATTTAGATGTGCATTCTAAGAGTTGTTTACCAAATGGGTAAGTATTTTTTAACATTAAAGTAAGCAAATTTACGAAAAATTTGGCTAATAAGTTATCCAAAATATGAAAAGGGTTACCCATCCGGGTAAAAAGTAAGAGAAAAATGTGCTATTCAAAAATAATTTGCTACAAGAGTTTTTTTTTTTAAACCTCTTATACTAGTTCATACTAACGCCACTGATTGAAACATTAAGTTATTTTGCACAAATTTATTAAATCAAGTCTGGATTCCAACTTTTACAATTTTATTTGTTTTTTTAATATATATTTTATTTAATTATCCAAATATGATAAAATAAAAAATTATTTGGTTGCAAATTAAGTTATTAAAAAAAAATATTAAAATAAGAAATTTACCCATATATAAAATTTGTTTCTTTTCCCAATGCAATTTTATTAGATTACGGTGCATTCCAAGCCAAAGCAAAGGGTAAGTTATTTTAAATTTAAGCTGACGAAAAACTGTTTGCTTATCTCCCACCATAAAATTGAGCGGATTAGAAAAAGCTTTTTGTTTATTAATTGACAAAATGCGAAATATGTATTTCATAACATTTATACATTTTGCAGAAACTTTTTGAAATTCGTCATTGAAAATTTATTTGGTTAGGACATTTGGTTCGATTGCATTTCAGTTCAAGGGTATGGGGTTGTATGGACGGTGGAAAAACAATATCGCTTCTGATGAGGCACAAATTTATGTGAATTTGTATTTTGTCACAACAAATGGTAATTTATGTGCACTAGGGAATGGTGCTTAGGCGACAATTATCAAATGGGAAATTATGAAAAACTGGAATGAGTTTATAAAATAAATTGATGATGGTAAATGTAGTAAAAGGGAAAATGTAATGTTGGTCAGCGGAGATTTACACAAAATATATCCTTAAATTATAATTAAATTATTGGAACAACCAACGAAATTATTTCATAGGTATACGATTAGCTTTAAGTGAATAAGAAAATAAATAAATAAATAAAAAAAAAAATTTGACAATTTAAGTAAGTTAAAGAAAAGACAATTTTTTAGTTGTTCTTCATAAATTATTTTTTTAAAAATTTAATTTTGTTGAACGTTTTGACACAATAGCGGTAATCGAACAACAACGTTATTAAAACATTTGATTCAAATATTTGAAAGTCAAAACCCATAATTTGGAAAAATTATTAGATCACATAATAAAGATGAATTTTTAAAAATTATGGTTTTTTACGAAGTTAATCAGTAGAACTCTAAAGACATATTAATGTCACAATTGAATAATTTTATTAGAATCGGAAAGCGATAATTAAGCTGCAAATCATCATAGCTTCAATGCTTTTAAATAAATACGCAAGTAAATTATAATTTTAATGTTTTAAAGAATATTTAATTTTTGCAATAACTGCAAGAGTATATGAACTTCTGATTGCCGAAGTGTGCTCCCTTTCTTGTTATATATATATTAATCCAATTTTGTAATAAAATATCATGAAATATGCCGAGTAATGCAACCTTGAGTAAAATACCTTTTGGGGTTTTATAATAACACAAAAATATGGTAATATGGCAAGAATACATTATAAGATCCGATTTCCAAAGCGGCAGCTGTGCCCGGAAGTGGGCCACTTCGCACTCCTCGTAACAGAGCAATCTTTTCCAGATGTGCCACAGACTCGAGACAGACCGGAACGATTATTCAGTCTGGCACTGGCCGTTTGTTAGCACTACCACGACTGTCAGCCTGGGACGCCGAGAGAAATCACTTTGCTTGTAAGTGGAGCTTGCGGCCTGGAGCAGAAGTGTTATAGTTCATGGCGGTGACCCGGACGGGAATCCGCTGGCTGCAAAGGGCGGAAGACGTGGGGGAGGAGGTCACCCGCCGCTGCCGCCCCTTCCTGCCCTCGGTGGCCCGCTCATGCCTGGTGGCCACCTTCTTCGAGGACGCCCTTCGCATGTGGTTCCAGTGGGTGGAGCAGCAGGCTTTCCTGCAAGACCGCCATCAGTGCTCCGCCACCCTTGCGGTGGCCATAGTCCTACTGAATCTGGTTGGCCAACTGGCGGGCTGTGCCTTGATTCTGCTGCACCTCTTTACTAACTTTGCGGTCACCATGCTGGCCGGCCTAGTGTTGCTTCAGGTAAGTTTTATAATCGTGACCTCCATCAAAAACAGCTTGTAAAGCCTATAAAAAACTCCTTAAAAAATGTTGCACACTTATAAATTATACGATAGCTTTTTGATATATTTGGTTCTGACGAAATAGTTTTTATATTATTTGCAATTTAAGTTAAAGCTTCTATGCAACCTTAGGAATTTAAAACTCAACATCAATTTTCCAACTTTAATTCTTACCTTCAAATGCCACTTTCAAATTCTAATAAACTACTTTACATTTTTATTTTACATAAAAATGGTAGAAAAACCTTGTATTTTTAATTATTCATTTGAAAATGTAATTTAAATTTAAATAAAACCTATTTTAAATCTTATATTGTGCAATGTAATCAATATGCGTTGTATTTTATATTATAATACAATATTGAAATTTAATTCACATTTTACTCTTCCATTTTTTGGTCAGTGTACTAAGTAAAAGCATCAGTTTGGTTAAAATATCAATAAAACGAATACCTTTATACTACCTTTAGCTTATATTTAAGACAACGGCTATAAAATTGAAAATGTTGTCTATATTTTGTGTGTTTCTAATTATTTACAGGGTGTCACATTTTTTGTGTAAGTATTAAGTTACATTAATTAACTTGGACTTTTATGAAACAATCGAGTTCTGTAGATTAATGTTAAAAAGTTATGAAAAAAGCTGAAAATATTGTATTTTCTTATTTTGACATTTCAATTAAGTGATAACTCTTCCTGAATATAAATATATAGTATAATTTTTTCTTAGGTTCACATATATGAAGTGCCACTTCAGATGCACCTGCTGCTCCGAAATTTCTCGCTGCTCGGAGGCCTACTTCTTCTCCATGTGGAATGCAAGGAGGCTGCGGTATGCCGGCTCTACGGCGCAGGAGCGGGATTGCCTTTTATTGTGGGCCAGCGATCCCAACAACTGATGCAGCTCACCGGAAGGATCCTGCTGGCCCTGATGTATCTGACCTTGTTCCAGCAGTATCTCACAATTGCTGCCATGATCTTGAATTGCTTTGGCCTGATCCTGATGGCGTTCGTCGTTATGGGCTATCGCACCCGACTGGCTGCTTTGTGTCTTTCGCTAATCCTGACCGTGTGGAATGTGACCACAAATGCCTGGTGGTTCGCAGAAGGCGACACCAGGGACCTGCTCAAGTACAATTGCTTTCACACTCTATCGGTGGTGGGTGGTCTACTGATGGTTGTGGCCTTGGGTCCTGGAGAAGTATCCCTCGAGCAGTACAAAAAACACTGGTAGTTGTAGTCGCTTTAATGTACATTTTAAGATCGAACGCAGAAGATTATCAAAATATAAACATTTTCCCTGACTAAAAATAGGTAAAATGGATGATTGACACTGAGTGTCAGTATCTGGAAATCTTTATAACACAGATCAATTTTAAGAACGCATTAAATTTAAATTTATTCATTGCAGTATATTAAATTAAATTTTTAAAAATTCAAGTTTCGAATAATAATATATTAATATTATTGACTTAGCCTATTTACATCCCTTAAGCTAAAATATCTGAAGCACCTTTTTTATATCTCTTTAAAATAAAATTTAAAAAAAAAAGTATTACCTATACAAATTTGCATTTTTGTACTTTTCCAAGATAAAAATCTAAGATAAAAAAAACGTAACTTGAGCAATTTGCAGAAGCACAAAATTGTGGATCTACATTTATATTTTAAGACAAAAATCAAACTTGATAAAACATTATAAATACATTAAAAATATAAAGTATAGCTTTTAGTGAATTCCAAATTTCATCCAACAATCTTTTGATTGTTCCATGTACCGACTTGACTTTAATTGGGAGATCTAATACCACATTGGGACTGCTGGCAGTCTGGTCACTGTTTCACGCCCTTATTCTGATCCAATCAAGCTTCAAGCTCGCGGCCACATTGCAATTTTATTAGAGCATAAAATCCCGCAGATGGGCCTGAAATTACATAGTCATGACTCCCACATTATACATTCAGCGTGGGCAAAGGACATGCACCCCCAGCCACACCCACTTCCACATTGCCTACTTTCAGGCGTCGCCTTCCCGTTCCGCTGTCTCGCCTCGGGCGGCAAATTTACGCGCAGCACAACAAATAACAACTAAGTATTTATTATGTAAATAATATTATGCCAAATGCCCACACAGAGCGAACATAAAGTGAGCGAATCTGCGAGGCGAAGGACTACAGTAGAGTTTCTGCCCAAGTTTACATTTTTATTAAATGCTGCACTCGAGAACAATTTTCAGGAATAGTTTGCCACTTTCCGCACTCGAGTTGAGTTTCCCAGCTGCAGGCAGTTGCATAGCCTAAGTAGCTGATGTTGTTGGCTTTAAATAACTTAATTTTTGGAACACAGCATAAACAGGATTTTCAACTCGATTATGGACAGGTACATATTACAATATAACTTCATTCCAAATGTTTCTAAACCTTTGATCATTTTTAACATTTTTTTTTTAATATAGCAGACTAGTGGGTATTTTATATTTAGGTACTTTAGTTATACTTTTATATTTAATGCAAGTTGTTCTTTTACTTTTTTGAACTGTATGTTTTATTAAGCATTAGGTGCGTCAGAGACGTAATAGAGATTTAGTTAGTTGTTCATAATTACCTCACGGCGGGGATTTGAAATGCACAAGAAGGTTAACCACATTAGATTGCTTGCCAAACGTGGGCTGTAATACATTGTGTGTAATACATGTCGGTTGAATATTGTTATTGACTCATGCGTCCCACTTGTTCAATTATTAGTACCTAATTTAAATAGTTTCTTAGTGACTGATTCAAAGCATGGTTTAATGCACATCAAAAGTTCCCAAATATTTTACTAGGATCAGAAAATTATTCATTCAAAAAATGTTTTTTTAATTGATGAGAAATGTATTTATTTCAATCAAAAAATTGTATTTATTTATATTAAAATTATTTTAAAACTAAAATATATTTTTAACGTGAAAGGAATCACAATAGCAACTAGACCAGCAACAATTAAATATTTTTTTAAAATTTAATATTATGTAATATGGAATTGGCTAAAAGCATGTGCCATTTTCTACTTAAAATGTTTATTTTGAATATAGTCGCAACTATTTTGATAATTCTTTAAAGGGTGCCAAACGTTTCAGAGCCAAATCAAAAATTAAAGTCCAACTGCTTTAAACTTTATTCCCTCGTTAGATTTTCAATTGTTTTTCTTGCTGCCAGCATATCATTGTAATTAAAAACTATTTGCACACAAAAGTTTATAAAAACAGAAACCGACAACAACAAATAGAAGTACAACAAGTGCAAGAACAACACCGATAAATGAGAGCTACAACAGTTTTGTTGTGCGGTAATTAGTGTAACTGTTCAGTAAGCCACATAAACTGATTTCGGTTTTTGGGTTTTGCCATTTCACCCTGACTGCCCATCCTTTCCAATGCTCGTCACACATTTTGGGCAAATAATTGAAATCATTTAAAAGGGACTTGAATTATTACTTGTTTAATGTTATTGTTTGCTGTCGCATTGTCAGAGCAATAAATTTAAAATTTCTACTCAAATGGTTGAGCAATGATTGGTGCAAACTTTTCGGGTTTGGGACACAAAACACAGAGCACATAGCACAGAGCACAGAACACGGAATATGGAACGCCCCCGACCCAGACCAGTAGCTATAACATAATAATTCAAGTGGGGGGACTTTGGCGTGGGGCCTGCTCGGTGGTGGAAACTTTATCTTTGTCGTGGGTACGGTTCGGTTCGGTTCTGTCAGGGAATTCGCGTGAATTTCGTATTCATTCGAGTGCAAAGTTGAAAAAGGCCAAGCCCAGGCAGAGGGGGATCGTGTCTAATCGGACTGCCGCCATGAGATGATGCATGGATTATATCGTTTGGAAACTGAACAACCGTTGCGACATTGCAGGAATTAAAACCAAATGTTGCCGGGCTTAACGTTTCACGGATTACGTTTGGACATTTAACACGATTTGCCGAAAAATTTATTTTAATTTCAGCCAGTCAAAAGTTTAAATTTGTTGCTGTTTTCAAAAATGGTATATAAATGTTTTGCTGCATGTTCATATTGCATGAACTATATTCAATTATCTTTTATATTTCTAGCGCCAGAAAATAAAATTGTATGGACTGTGTTGTGCTGATTTTTGTTCTTTTTAAAGTTAAAAAATAATTTATTTGATAAAAATACAAATAAAAATGACATTTATTTAAAATAGAAAACTTTAAGGTCAGCGAAAACAGCTTATCGTTGTTTAAGTCACATGTTTGAATCATTTTAAATAAAAAACCAGAACGGAAGCTATATCCGGCAAACCGTAGTTTCCTTTGAAGTCAAAGGTTCGGATTCGGAATAATAAAATAAAATTATGTTTGTCCAAAAAAGCTATATATATACATATATATATATAAAAGCAACCGAATTTATACAATTTTTCCCCGGTAATTTTAATACAATATAGCTATATGATATCGTTTTCAGATTTCAATAAAATTAAAAGCGTAATTCCGAACTGTCAAATTATTAATAAGTCAAAAATAATTTGAAAAAAAATAGCCAAATAGAAGAGTTACATTTAAAAACTATTTTATTTATTTACTAAAAAAAATAAAAAACAGCAAACTTATAACTCATTTATTTTTCCGATTGTTTCTATGGGAGCTATATGCTATAGTCCGATCCGGCTCGTTCCGTCTTAGGTACTACCCGCCATAGAAAGACAACTTTTGGGAAAGTTTCAAGCAGATAGCTTTAAAACTGAGAGACTAATTTGCGTAAAAACGGAAGGACGGACATGGCTAAATCAACTCTTCTATCGATGCTGATCAAGAATATATATACTTGATAGGGTCGGAAATGTCTCCTTCACCGCGTTGCAAACTTCTGACTGAAATTGTAAGGCTAAAAAAATGGTGAAAAATCAAGTCAATAAACGCAATTTAAAAATCAACTAGATTTGATGAGAAAACATGTACACTTTGTGTAAATAAAACATAATATGGTTAAACATTTATTTGATCAGAGATATAAAGCAAAGGAAAAAGTATTATTGGCAGATGTATCTCCGTCAAGACCTAAACCAGCTCAGCTAATACCATTTACGATCTTTGCTTTGCGCCATCACCTGACGTCCTGTCGTCCTGCCAACCTGCCCAATACCCCGCACAGGTAACACCCAATTACAACTGGTTAGCATTGCTTTTGGGATTGGTTAACCCGATTAGCTTGTGCTGGTGCACTGCTGGCCGGACCCCATTAAGTTGGCTCAAACATAAAGTAAGGGAAAATGGCCGGTCGGAGATTCGGGGCATGTGTGCATGGGAGGGCAGTTGTTCTAATTAAGCGCCGTTCTGGACAGGCTAACAAGCAAGTTAAGCACACACAGAACCATTTAATTCGTTTGCGCGATTTCTTTTATTATTAATTACATGCGGTACACATAAATTAGACGTTACTCCATGTTTTGGCAACTTTTTCGTTATTTATGTGCTCCCTGATTCACAAAAACTCGTCCAACTGGAAAAATGGCGATCCTAAAGCCACTCACAGTCCTCACATGCCGAAAGCCCTCCGAGGTTAGATATGTTGAATATGCTGGGTGCCACTTGATGTGAATGGGGGCATCTGTCGACTGGAGGAATTTACGTGGGATTTGTATTAATTAAATTGTGGGTGCGTAGAAATGGGTTGTTTGCTGCTGGGAGAGGCTTTAGGTGTTTATTAAAATTCTTGTTAAAATTCTTATACATTTCGTAAGACTCGATTCATTTAAGCTGCGTATCTAGAGTCCATAAAAATACCAGCACTTTGTAAGTTTAAATATAAAATTATAATATATGTTTCTCAGTTTTAATTTCTCTCTTTTAGTCTATAACATTTCATCTGATTTTCAAATTTGGAGATTATGAAATTCATCAAATTCTTGTACTTTAATTTGTTGCATTGTAAATTGACCATTTCTTTTTTAAAATAGGATTTGCAAGGCACATTTCTTTAAAGTTGACGAAAAAGATAATGGTTAAAAGTTAAAATAGCAATAAAATTTAAAATTTTTGAATTAATGGCATTACTTGGTTTGGGTGTTAGTTAACACACAACCACAACCGAAAAACTAACTTGGAATTAGTGCAATAAAACGAAGGAAGTACTGCTAAAGTAGCATAATCATGCAAAGCTCGTCAGATGAAACGCCATTAGAAATGATCCAACTGCTGGACTATGTCAGCGGCATTCGGAATGCTCTCCTCCGGAAGCTTGAGATCGGGCAGATAGTTGATGGAGGCGGAGAATCGCATGGAAACCGTGCCGACTGGCTGGT